GTTTGACTACTGTACTGTCTCGTTGAAGTTAACATCGCTTTTAGCTATGTTTGCATGCTGTATATATGTGTACTGTATTTCTCTGTGTGATGTGTATTTAAATGGACCAATGAGAAACTACGAAAACTTCTATTTTATAATCATACCCATCAACCATAACAACAAAGAACTTAAGTTACTAACGTCAAATTACAGCTTTATAAAAAAACGCGTTCTTCAAAACCAATTGAGTTTGCTATTTGATTGAACGAGCAGCTTTAGTGGAAACATAATAGTTCTTTGACCAAATTTAGAAAAATATCACGAATCATCGACAAACCCTTTGATCAAATGTTTTCCGATGCTAAAAGTCGTGAAAATAATTAAAATATATAAGACACCAACAAATGACTGTTTTGCAAGTATTGAATTGCACAATACATGTACTTCATGCAATATATATATAGATATATATATATTATATCCTGTGTCCCAAGTGCAGGAGTCATCAATTTACTATGGTGATAGCCTGGAGGGCACATTACAATACATTTTGTATGTATATATATATTGCAACATATACTTTTTTCAGCAGAATTTTTTAACCATTTTTTCACAACAATATATTTTCCGAATTATCGTTTATAACTAGGAGTTACTATCGCAAGGGAAGTGCTGCCCCTCCACCAAGTAAGGTAAAACAGTTTGGAAACTGCTATTGCGTGTTTTCCATCATTTATCATCTGCCATAAACAATACAATAATGAATGGTAAAAATAAAAATACAGCAAGAAACCGCAACAACTCGTATACTTTGTCATTGCATAAAGACAAGCTAATTGTGTCATCTTTTATTTTCAAATTGTCATATAAATCAATTTATAGAAGTAGATGCAAGAAGTAACACTGTATGTATGTATAATTATGCTAATTTCAAAATGGAATAATTAGATAATCAGTTTTCAAAGCTCATTTTACAAAAATTTGCATATTGTCATTTAGAACTCGGCCAATAACAATTAAATCATGTTAACCGGAGCTTAAATGAAATTTTCCAACAGCACAAGATCAACAGAACAAGATCAACACATCCATTAATACAAATTGTTATATGGTGTCATATATGTATCTCTTAAGTCTCCCTGTGCTTCTTTGTTAGTATATCATATGTTTCACCTGGATTCATGTTACTCAGTTGTTTTAGCAAGGAATCACTTTTATACACATACAAACTTGAATGGTACAGTCGTTGCAGTCATTGTTCATAGCATTTCCATTATTGTTCGATTTGTGTCACTTTCTTTTAGACTGCTTTTTGTGAAGCTCATTCGCCTTATTAATTGTAACCTGAGAGATAATTTAGTCTAGCGCAAATCAATTTTTTGCAATACAACCAATACAACATGATGCATGGTTTACTCGCCATGTTTAATCATGATCGTGACTAAAACACCACAGTACATACGAGTACATACGAGTAACATAAATACATACGAGTACATACGAGTAACATACGAGGTAACATACGAGTAACATACAGATCAACATTTCTGGAACAAATGAAATACATTGATATTTGCGTTTATTTTTCCTTGTATTTGTGTGGACTTTGGGGCAACCATTTGATGGATTTAAATGCTGAAAAGGTATTTTACTTTTATACTACATTCATTTGTATGTTTTAGTTGAATTTGTTATAGATGTTTTGTCGATGCGATTTGCCAGTATTTGAGCGCTTTTTGAAGCACTTTCACCTAGGAAATACATATTTATGAAAGCGATTATACATTCATTTTGACTCTGAAGATGACTACCGTTAAGGTTGTCGAAACGTCAGTCAACAACAACAAAAACAGTCCGTCTCAGGACTATACGTAACAGTGCAACTCTCATTTAATTCAAATATATATAATGTACATTTTTTTCATGTAGCACGTTTTGAAAGCATTATTTATACGTTGTTTATTTAATCGCTTTCATAAATATGTATTTCCTAGGTGAAAGTGTTTCAAAAAGAGCTCAAATACTGGCAAATCGCATCGACAAAATATCTATAACAAATTCAACTAAAACATACAAATGAATGTAGTATAAAAGTAAAATACCTTTTCAGCATTTAAATCCATCAAATGGTTGCCCCAAAGTCCACACAAATACAAGGAAAAATAAACGCAAATATCAATGTATTGAAGAAATTGTGTTGTTTCTCATTTGTTGACCAGAAAATAGTCGTATGTCACTCGTATGTACTCGTATGTTACTCGTACGCACTTGTATGTTACTCGTATGTACTCGTATGTCACTCGTATGTACTCGTATGTTACTCGTATGTACTCGTGTGGTGTTTTAGTCACGATCGTTTAATCATAGCATTCCAATTTCTATCCAATCGCCATGCACAAACGACGCACAGTTCACCTTATATGGAGGTGAGTGCTTCAATGCTCAATCGATTCTCGTCAGTCATACGTTTTAATCATAAAAAAAAAAAAAAATAAAAATAAAAGATAAATTCCTTGCCATTTTGAATGAAAACATTTTTTTGATTCTTTTAAATGTCTTGATTGTTTTGATTCTTTTGAGTTTTTAAAATGCTTTTTGATTAAAAGTATGATACGTTGTTTACTCAACCGAACAATCGTCCGCATGTTTACAAACGTAGAAACGGACTATATTATAAAACTGTAGTTTTGTTTCCATTATTTCCTTTATAACATTTTGATAGAACCTTTTTTCCGATGATTCTGTGCGACTGCGATAAAATGATGTATAGTTATCGCAAAGAGCAAACGTTTCATCATATTCATAGTTCATATTTCATGGTTGAACTCACACCACGCGTTTAAATTATTTTTGACGTTTTGTTAAATCCACACCGATATTTCAAGTAATAATAAAAGCTCGAACGACAATAAATACATGCTTACACTATATTTTGCTCACCGTCTGACCATAGAGCGCAAGATAAAATATGTGAACCGAGCTGGCTAAATACGGCACGGTGAATCGATTTCATGTGTTTTTCGCCAAACGAGATATGTGTAATTGATGTCGGTAATCACTACATTTTGGTATCTACTGTATAACGTTGTTTAGGCCCCATATCTATTCGGATTCCAGACATTTAAAATCAAAGAGAAACTGACAGGAGTTCCGAAAGGTTCTACCTTATTGTGATAGTTCTTCCCCCCTCATTCCGTAATAATCCCCCCCGGAAATGTTAACAGACAGAACGACCGACCGACACAAATCGAGATTTTACCTCTATATAGGTCGAGTAGAGGAATGGGCCGAGACATGTCAAGATTAGTGTGCTGCCACGCTGATGCGTGGCAGCAATGAGTAATTTTCTAAACAAAATGTGCTCTTTTTTATCACGTTTTCTTCTTCATTCATTAACAAAGTGTATTTCATCAAAGTTAAAACAAAGACACGAACATTTACACCAAGTGAGAGTCAGTTTATTAATTCTACCTTTGAATCTCCGGAAGAACACCTGTTGTTTACATATAAAGTTTATACCACAGATTAGAGAATTCAATGCTTGTACTACAAGATGGAAAAGTAAAACATCTTGAAGTAAAAAACCTAGAAGTCAAGTAGAAGTCATTAGATGTCTGATATAATGACCGATAAACAATATCACAACATTTTATGCACCAATATATATACAGATCTCAGCAATAAGATATTCAGTTGGTGCAATATCATGCTTAATGAATTGATTGCATACAAAACTTATTTGGGGAAAATAGGCGATTTGTATTATCGGAAATCGGTTTATTTTTTAAAAAGAAATTTGCACTCTAAATTTCCAAGTGTACAGCAAACACCGTATAGGTGTAAATTTACACAATTTTTGTGTAAACGGACAAATTACACCTCTGCGAGTGTTATGTTACCTTTTGAGGTGTATTTTGTTCCAACAAAAGTGTTAGGTTTACACTGATTTGGTGTAGATCGTATATTACCTATATCTGGTGTAACTTTACACCAGACTTTGATCAATAATCACTATTAATGTGTTATAACACAACAATAGTGTCATGCTTCTATGGAAAGTCGGCTTTCGCTTTATGGAAACACTTGTACAAAAATATAAAACATTAAAAGCACTAAATTTCATTTATGGAAAATAATATACTTGTATGTTACATGGTTTATTAATTTTCACAATCTGAGAGGTCATATCTCATTCTTACATATTTTCTCGAGAATCCATGTCTATTTATTGTATATACATCCAACGGATGATAGTCTATTAGATCATCATATTTAACCGTCTCAATATTGTTGAGTATTGCTATTTCGTATGAGTGTAGGTTTTTAACATATTTCAATGTATGCATTTGTTTACAAATAAAAAATGCATCCCCATTAGCAATGACTATATCTTCGATCATCAAGATACATGGCAGTATTGATTGCTTATACACAAGTGCAGCTCGTTTGTGGTACTTGACTCCATGAATTGATATCCAATTAGCCCTGAAAGTAGACAGTGGTAAACTTTGAGTCACGACAGTCGGTAAATCATTTGCGGGCAAAACAATTGATTTCATAGGAACTTAGTACGGCATATCTTGCATAATATAGTCCCCAATTATCGATTTTCAAGTGTGGCCCAAGGCAGTGAACTGGGTACAAGGTACAACAAACAACGTGTTTAAGATGGCGGAGCAAACCTATATAAATGAGGTGAGAATGTATGCAGTGTACACTATGCAACTTTTCAATATTCTTGATTAAAGGAGGTCAATTAAATGTTTTTGATGTCCAGGAAACTAAAGATGATTGTGTGACACAAGACAATCCTCAAGACTTAGGACAAGAGAGTGATGAAAAAGGTTAGAAGTAGCACACTGACACAGCAATAGAATGTTTTCGCCTTCAGAACAAAAACACAACATTGCTGCTCTTTTGTTTTCTACATTGTCTATAAATTGTAGGTCAACTTTAATTTTGCATAGAACAAGTTTTATTGCGGGAAAAATAATTGTTGATTTCAAATCTTATTTGTATTAGGTATTACAGTTTCCATGCAACAAACCATGGAGATTGAGAAAAATAAAAAAAAACAAGAAAAGGAAAAGAAAGGAACGCATGGTAAACTCTTCTTCTGTGAACTAAACAAGACAACAGATTTTTTTGAAGTTTCAGGCGTCATAAAAAGATGATAGCCTTACTCAGTTATAATCCCAATACCTGACTTAGGCAGTTCATTTTCACAGTACTTTCAAAACATGACATTAGTCAATATATAATTTTGCTGTGGCTAAAAATGCAAAAAAAAGTATAGCAAGATCCAACATTTCCTCTAGCTGGTTATGCCTTGGCAGTAATATGCTGAAATTTAATAGAACTACCTTTGTTTGAAATTCATCCAATATACCCATACAAAATCGACATGGCCTTTTTGCTGAAAAGCTCTCCATAAAGCCTCTGATACCATTGCTGCCAAGGTTATCTGCTAAAACCAAGCTCAAGGTACCTTCAAAAGATCTAATGGACTGCCCTATGTTTAGTTGAACCCCATTTTCCTGTAAAGGGAATGTTGAATGGTCAGATTGTTCTTTTCTGTTTGTTGATACATAAATTATCAAAAAGCTGCAACAAAATGAAATTTCAACACTTACTGATTCTAGCAATGCCACATCAGCCATCAAAGGCTTCAAAACTTTTGCCATACTATACTTTTTTATCCACTTCACAGGGCACAATATGGCAAGATTCAACATTTTAAGGGATGATCTGTACTTTGGATGTATATTTCCTAAAATCCAATAAAATCCACCTATAGAAAAAAATCAGAAGTACTTTAGCATTGATGGGCATGGAATAACATAGCCTTTTATTGCTATACCTAGCTTGTGCACAGTTGCCTTTGCTCCTAAAGGATTTGCAACTTCAAAGTCATCATAGTAAAGAAGAATCTGAAGAGCCTTATGGTTGACTGAAAACAGTGGATGGCGACCAGGATTAAACTGCTCTCCATCACTAAAGTCTCGCATATTCCCATCTAAACTTTGGTGAGGGTTACGAACCTAACAAAAAATTAACAGAAGTTACAGCAGCATATTAGTTTTTGCAATTGTAAACTTTTACTTCAACAACATTTCTTACTTGTGACATGATGTCAATTTGATTAAGCAATTGCTCCAAGACCTTTATTATTGGAATATACTGAAAGGAGTGTTTTTTCACTCGGAACTGACCATTCACTTCAGAAGTTACCACCTCTTCTCCAAGCACTATTTCAATTGGGTCCTACAAAATAAGTAGATAATACATTTAGGTAGTAATTAATACATTATACTATCATGTTCTTATAAGAAGTATTAGAATACTTTAAATACGTACCACCATATTTAATGTTTCCCTTAAATACTTGTTTCGATCCTTTGATGTCTGCAATACTTTTTTTGATGCAGAAAGTGAGGGTGGTGACTCAAGTAATTCTTCGAAACCTTCTATATCTTTAATGTCAACACTGGAATGCTCGATGCATAATTTAACTTGCTTTTTTAAAATAGTCCTCGTTTTGCTCCATTAACTGATAAGTATTTTCAAGCACTGCATCCGTTGCAGTGTCACCAAGTTGATTGAATTCCTGTGTCTTCAAAGCAAACAATGCCATTTCCTTGACTGAAATATACGTATTATGTTTGTTGTTGCAACCCATCTCAATTGAGTCCAGTGTCGAGTCTGCCACTAGATGGTCGTTGTCTTGCGTAATATCGCCGTTCATATCATTGACTTCACAATCAACTGCATAATCAAGGTCACCTTTATGTTTTCGACGCATATGAGATGTTAAAGACGATATCAGTGAATAGGAGCGACAACACGAGTCAAACGGACATTTAATCTTGAAATTGGGTTCATGAACATGATAATCTCGAACATGACTCATATATCTCTTGAAAGAGGCAAATGATAGATGCGAGCAATGTATGTTTATACATTTAAATTCTTGCTCTTTTCTTCTGGCCATTGAACATATCTGAAGCAACGACTGCGAAAATTGCTTTGATTATTAATCACTAAATGGATCAGCATTTACGGTGATTAGCCATAGGCGGCACAGAAATCAGTTTGAATTCTGTTTCTTTATAAAAATCAATTTATGTAAATATATTCCTTGCACATAGCTGTCACATACCTTACTTGTATTAAAATTCGAGTCGTACTCATTTTCGCTAAGCTTTAAATTCGCGCGATTTAATTTCGCGCACTTTTTTGACAATTATTCGCGCGATTTAATTTCGCGCACTTTTTTGACAATTATTCGCGCAGCTTTAAATTCGCGCAAGTAGTTTTATGTGCTCGTTCTTTTTGGTTTGTTCAAAAGAACTATTAATAATTAACGCATTTATATTGAGCTTTCTTTATTAAGAAATACCTAAATATTCATCAAAAAAGCGATTGGGTGGCCTCAAAAATGGCTTCAAAATAAAGCGTGAGTTCACTGTCCCAACAAGAACTAAAAAATGTAATAAATGATATGGCCTAACAATATACTTTATAAGTCAAACAAAAGTTTAGCTACAGTTCAAATGTGCTATTGGTCTGTTTACCAAAATCAAATATGCTATTGGTCTGTTTACCATAATCAGAGGCAAGATTGAACCATTGTCAGTGGTCGGACATTTGCCTCGAGAGATTTCCCGATTTTGCAAGTTCTTTTTGAATATGGGGCAATATAGAAGCATGTGTGTGACATCAAACTTCGTCGATCCCCATTACCACAAGGAGGCTTGGAGATTCCTATTACCCTAACAGTCATGCAGAACAATGCAAGTTTTAGGATATACAGCAAAATGCAGGCATTCGTGACGGAATACTACGTAGAACCTGAGAATATCCCCACTGAAATTGTACAGGATGAAAATGAAGACATTTTTGATTTTTAATGTTACCAGGACAACTATAAGCATATGTCAATATGTATATGCATTAATAAAACAACTGATTTGCATAACCAACAATGAATGTCTCATATTACACTACAAAGCTTTTCGCGCGGATTATATTTCGCGCAGTACTAAAATTCGCGCACTCAGCGCTGCGCGAATTCTAGTACTGCGCGAATTTTAATACAAGTAAGGTAGCTGTTGTCACAAAAATAACTGCATGGCTCAGAAATAAGTCCGACCTCTGAGTAGAATATAAATCATAATTATTCCATTTTTGATCCCAGTATCATTATAACCGGCGGCTCTTTACCATAAACGTGTCTTGTGCAGTGTGTATAGCCATTCACAATTTGACCGTTTGTTCTGATTTAACTTGAAAAAGTATTTCGTTCGTCCTAAATCTGTTGAAAATGGGGTCTACACTTAAAGAAACATTTTCCGTTGAAGAAGTTGTGAATTGGCTGGATTTAAATGGTTTTCAAGACATCAGCCAAACGTTTTGTGGTAGGTATTGACTTTGCAATTGCATCATTTGTATTTAGTATTTTGATTATTTTACCACTGCAATAAGATTCCGAATTCGGTTCAGTTTGGGAAACTTTTGTGTTGCGCTGTACTATTGCGATGTCAACCGAAGGTACCATGTGCTATTTTACCGCTATATTTTATTCCTCATCGTGCGAATTCTAAATCCGTGACTTTTTAATATTCGATCGATCGTTGCTACTTGAAAACAAATTCTATATTTTGATATCAAAATTATACTTAGACGAGGGCATTGATGGCGATGCAATGTCCTGCTTGACGGAAGATGCCTTAAAATCATTGGTTGTCAGGATTGGCCCCAGGATGAAGTTATTGAAAGCCATCAAACAAATGAACACTAGATGCTCGACTTCTACATCTGAGTCTGCTAGTGACTTATCTACATGTGATATGCTGGCGAAGTGGCAAGACTCCAATTCTCAAGGAAATGCATCAAATCCTGGTGGGCAATCTGGTGTGTGTGAATCACTATCAAGTGCAAGGTAATGAATTGTATTAAAAGACACTGAATTGTAAATATATCTATCATGAGGATGCCTGTGTGTGTGTTTCATAGCAGTGACAACTCAGTAGCAAAGGCAGAAAACAATGGACATCGCCATTTGTTCTTCCTGACTATTTCCCTTTGGTTGAAGAAACACTTGCAAAGAAATTGAGAATGCCAAAGCAAGTTAGATGCAAGTTCATACAAACAATTTACGACAAAATTTGCCTATTTACTGTGTAAGTTCATTCCATCATTTATATTTTCAGCAACTTTCTCTTGATTTTATCCTGCTGTGGTGTATTATGGCATATTTGTGTCATCGAGAATGGCTTTTGTTGTATAGTTCTCCCACTCCAGACCAAAGGCGAGATGTTTGTCCTGCAATAATTGCAAAATACCCTTTTCTTTCTGATGCAAGTGGTGGCTATGTAAGTCTTTTATTTATAATTGTATATAGTCTTTTCTTATTATTCTTATTATGTTTGTATAGTTATAATAAAGAAAAAGACATAACAAAAAACGCTGAAATCTGTATTGTTTGTCCATAAACTTGCATACTGATGGCTTGAAGAATTGTGTTTGTTGCCTCATTTACTGGAAAGGAAAACAAAAACTAATAAAAGTCCTGAGTCTTACTTTTACCAGGTTAGTATTGATTGCAGAATATGGATATTTGTATTTAAACTCAAATAATGCAGTGCCTAACTGCTTGATTAAATTTTTTGTCTATTTTCAGTTTGGTGAAGCAGAAGAAGTTGCCATGGCAGCAAGACCTGGAATGGCCCCATTTTTGGTTATCAGTGGCTCAGTGGATGATCCCCATCTGGATGATATAACTGTTGTTGCCGAAAACCACATTGTAACAAGGTCTGCAGGAATTCTGGATCCACTGGAGTCAATGCTTATATTGTATTACGTATGTAATATTCAATACCCTAAAGAATGTGTCAACACATTTCATTTCCTGCAGAGAAATATCATGAAAGTGTTTGACACCCAAAAGGTGCCGACAAAGGTGTTGGTGTTAATGTCAGAGTTATCGAAACTATGAACCAGAATGTGAACAATAAAATATATGGTTATAGTACAGGATTTAATGATATAATGTAGTTTTATTTAAAGTTTTGTTAAGGTTTTAAATAGTTATGTAAGTGGGGGTTACATTTAATAACTTTGTAGTATTTATTATGCTGAAATTTACTTTCATGATACATTTATATGCTATTTTGCTCTTTGTTTTGTTTTTCAGAGCGTTGTCAATTCAATTTAAGAATGCACTGTCTAATGTATATGTTTACACTACTCTAACTATGCTTACACATTCGTAGTGTAAACATACACTAGAGATATTACACCATTAGAGTGTATTATTACATCCTATTTGTATATTTACCTTTGAGGTGTATATTTACACTCTCTTGATGTAAAAAATGAGGCAAGAGCAAATACACCTGATGGGTGTATTTTTATAATGTCAATTTACACCTCTTTGGTGTTCCTACAGAGGCAGAAATTTACACCATTTTTCGTGTTCACAGTACACTTCGAAATTTAGAGTGTGAAAATCGTATCATAACCGACCGATGGTGCGTTTCACCGATCACTTTCCTCCAGCTGATGTGTGTAACTCTCCACAACTCCCCCAAACTCTCTTTACAACCCACCTCCCCGCCTTGTATGCTTATGTTACGCCACCGTACATAAGACACGTAAGAAACTCAATAAAATTTAAACAATCAGCGATCGTTTATTCTATCATCATTAGACTTTTAACAAGAAGCTGTTTACCTGAGCCCTGCCAGGCGGGTGGCTTCATACGTGTTAGCTACAAGAAATCCATGTACTTAAAAGTTAGTTCGTACGAAAAGAGAGCCAGCCCTCTTTTGCAGCTATAATTGAAAGAATCATATTTTTATGAAAGTCTATGAAACTTCATATAATTTAAAACCAATACATTTAGAAAGAAGCGCGTTATGGACGTCTTGATGATGATCTTGAGATAAATGGTTTTGCCTCACGTTTTCTGGTTTCTGATAGAATTGAGCATAATGTACAATGGACTTTCTACGTTTTAGCTACAAAAAAATTTAAGACCATTTGCCTCCATGCATGCACGTGATTAAATGGAAAACGATTTGTTCTCTGGATTGGCTTAAATTTGGCTGTTTGTGCAACATTTTCAGAAATACGACATTTGTATGTCAAAGTACTCCATAAATTAGCGGATTGATAGCATGCGATTCAAGAATTCTGAAAGAACCGCCTACATGAAAATTCAAGGTGTTTTCTTTTGTAAAAACTTCAGGTAAAACAGCTTTCATGTGATAAATTTGAGCCAGTCAAAAACAGAGAACCGTGATGAAACAGACGAAGAATGATTTCAGATGCGTGACGGTCATTTTCTGAGTCGAGAAAATGACGGATTTTGTTAATGCAGTCCATATAACTTCGAAAGCGATGATAATTCATGTAAAATAGAGTTTTTTGTCAATCTTTTCTGCTAACTTTTCAAATAAATTAGACTGTGTAATGGCAAATTAATTCAGTGTGCCAGCAAGAACAAAAAGTAACGATGTAAACATAAACAATAGCGCGCATTGCATCTTGGTTAACACGTATTCTTTAAGTATACTTGTGAAAATGTTAATATTTCACATTCTTTATAGGATAACATCACTAAACCATGCAAGCAAAACAGTCCATAGATTGCTTTTCAAATTTTTAAAACTTAACCCTATGTTTGAATATTTTATATTTTATCCATAAAAACGCATTTTATACAAAAAAAACGTAAAATAAATGGCAACTTTGAAATTATTTTTGTATTCATTTCGATCTTTAGAACGCACATATCGACACAGCTGTAATGGATGTTTTAGTTTTTTTTATTATTCACTAAATATAGTAACACAATTTTGACTTTGAAGCTTTTTAATTGGTTCATTTTGAAGTATATTTCTAGCACTATACAACAGCATACTTATTGCAGAAGTTAAAACAAAGCGAATATTGATGATTATTATTTGAAAACTGACAAGCACATTTCTTTATTGCATTTTAAAAGAGAAGCACAGAAAAAAAGACCTCTCTAGGAAAGTTGGACAGATAATATATCATTTCATATCTTCATGGCCGTACACGTGTTTTTGCAAGTTTTGGTATGTTCATTTGGTATTGTTGGAAATTCTCTTGTGATCGTTACACTGTTAAAACAAAAGATTCTGTTAAAGAAGAACTACTATTTTCTTGTTTTACATCTCGCAATATGTGACGCATTTTCACTATTGGTAATATTTCTCACTAAGATCAATTTGAAAATCAATATACTTTTGTTCAGCTGCGTACGTATACTACACATAAGTTGGCCTTTTTGTATTACTGGATCATCTATGATGTTGATCATTTCAGTTCTACGATATCGTGCGACAGTTCATCCATTGAAACCTTCCTTCAGTCGACAAAAGATAAAAATCGTTTGTGGCTTAGCGTACATCATTGGCTTGGTTGCGACAGTTGGAATGAGAATCCAAGTGTGCATTGTGGATCCTCAAGGACGTTATTACATTTACACGGCGTTTGCGTTTTATTCATGTTTCTACATTTTCCCAACAATCTTCATGACTGTGACTTACTCCATAATAGCTCGAGCATTGATGAAACAAAGAAAAGCACTACGAACACTATCCAATCTGACAAATTCTCATGTACCATCCTCCACCAGCTCAAGTCTTCGAAGATATATTCGAAGTTTGAAAACATTTTTTGTTTGTGCTTTAACGGTTCTTTGTTTTTCAGTTGGTCATATTTATAATATGACAGCTTTTTTGCAGCAGTATTATAATGAAGAATCTAACATGACACATACATTTGTTGGTTCTTGGCTTAGAATTCTGGGGTCGTACGTTGTCAATCCATTAATCTATGAATATTTGACAGAAAAGTGCTGTACTTTTGGAAGTGCTGCACAGGAAAGCAAATTTAAGAAAATGCAGATAACAATTTTTTTTAATCACTTGCATGATTCCTGTTCTAATCTAGTAGTGGGGATGTTTAAAAATTTTACTGTCTTGAAACAAGAATTATACCTTTTACAAATTTAATAATAGAATTAAGAAGAAGGAAGACCTCTAATGCCTTCTTTAAAAATTTAATTGCTTTGAATAACACAACACAGAAAGTAACCAAAATAACTCAAAGTTAGCTGCAAAATAACTTAAGCAATATATAAGTGCACACTAGAACCCAAATAAGTAATGACACTTGTGGTCATTTTTCTAGTAAATAATAAAAGTTTTCTCCATTATAATACTATTTTTAAATTTTTTCTTCTGTGGAATGTTGGAAAAGTGTTGATGCATGCTCTTTTAAAGATTCTAGAGAGAAATATATAGATAGAAAGATAAAAGAAATTATTAATAAATAGAACCTAAAATGGCTTCGCATTCAGAAAAAAGCAAATTAAAATAAATTTGTGTCCTAGAAGAACTATACTTTCTTGTCTTGCATCTCGCAATATGTGACTTACTTTCACTGTTAAGTACATTATTCTTCGTTGTCATATATTACGCTTGGAAAAGCGTTCCGATCTTTTTCAGATGTTCTGCAAATGGCAAATACATATTTCCATAATTTCGTAAAAGCACTATTGACAATACACATTTAATACACATTTAATTACATTCAAAAATGTTGTCGTGTATATTAAATGTGTATTTGCAAATACATATTATTTCAAGCAAGTGGAGTTTGTATGATGTTGATCAGTTAAGTTCTACGTTATCATGTGATATTTTATCCATTGAAACCTTCCTTCAGTAAACGAAAGATGAAAATAATTTGTGGTTTAGGCTACATCATGGGTTTGGTTGGTAGAGTTGGATTTTTAATTCAGGGGTGCATTGTGGATCATCGAAATCATTATAACATAAACCAAGTATTTGCCTTTTTTCCCTGTTTCTACATTTTCCCAATAATATTCATGATTGTAATTCACTCCATAATCGCCCGAGCATTTATCAAACAAAAAAAGCACTAAGAGCTAACTCCAATCCAATACAATTTCATACACAGTTCTCCACCTGCTCAAGTCTTCAAAGACTCACTCAGAATCTTAAGAATTTTTTCGTTGGCATCAGCACAGTTCTCTGCTTTGCAGCTGGTAATATTTATTATTTGGTTGTATATTCGCTGAATATTAGCAGTGCTTTTTCATCTACTGTTTCAATTAATCTTAACATTGCTTATGCTGTACGTATTTTGGGATCACACTCGTTAAATCCTCTGATCTATGGAATATTGGATAGAAAAACCCTGTATTGGTCAAATTGCTGGAGAACGTAAAAAAATCAACAAATTTAACTGATTTTAGAGATCAAGAAGTAGTTATTAAATACTGTGTTTCATTTTGAGGCTTTAATAGAGTTTAGTTCTGATTTGAAATGTATCATTTTTCTATAAGGTATTAAGGAAATACATCTTCATACACACTTTGAATAGGTCAGGAAGTTGAAGGGGGGGCTGCCACTTATATTTACTAAATTTCTTGCTTCCTACTTTGCATCACGTTATGTTAAGATATATAAATCTAAGCAAAAACTTTATCTAGTGGAAAAAGGGAGGACGCAAAAATTATTGGGCTTGCGGAGGCTTGCCTAAATTAAGGCAAGTAACACTAAATTGTAACTTGCCTTAATTTAGGAAAAACAATAAATGCTTGCAATTATCATTAAATGGATGTAAACGATGAATTACTGATGGATCATAATATCTGTGTAAAAATATAGTGACTTATTGAGCATAGCATTTGAGACTCTTATTTTATTTACATTGTGTAGCCTTGTGTGTTTGCAGGAAGTGAAAATGTACATTTACAATGCTTTATATACTAAGCTCTAAAGTACGATGCTTTTCTAGGATGAGACGGAGATGGCGCTAGTGTAAACATTAGAGAACACCTCAGGTCTTCTAACACAATTTTTTGAGAGTTTGGCATATATGTCTCTCGAAACCAAGCATAAATCTACTATAAAACGTCCATTATTTCTCTAAGTAATATCTTCCAGAGCCCTCTATTAGTAGGTTAATAGAGGGCTCTGATATCTTTATGTTTGACGAAGCTTGCATGTAGTTATACTTCATGTACGCAATAGCATAATTAGCACTGTTTTTGATGGTTATAACACAGAATAATAAATATACAGAAAGGGTCAATGAAGTTTGAACCT